GATATATGCCTACATAACATGAATACTTTATTCAAAAAGAGAGTTGGAAAGCAATGAATACCATTAATTTATAAAAAATGGCTATATGTATATTTAATGAAGAAAAAAGAGTGATTTCTGAGGTGGAAAGCATTTCAGAGTCAATGTTTTTGCCTTTCTTTGTGTCCCAGGCACTTAGCACCTTGACTGGTATATAGTAGGTGCTTAATAAATGATTGTTGACTTCTCTAGAGTCAGCTGTTTGTATGCATTTAGACCAATAACTAGCTACAGAAGGTGTCAAATTCAACAGCAAATTAGGATAAAAATGACAGCAGTTACAATTACATCAAACGACCTATTTAAATAAGCTGTTGGCAATGAAAAACAAAAAAAAATGAATAAAAGTGAAGACATTGACTCTGAGTATCATCCATTTTAGGGAAGTTTAACTTGAACAAAACCATGGCAACAGCGCTTAGAGAAAGAACCCAAAAGCCACCTCAAGCTGCACTTGCTTGATCTCCTTACCAATTGGAGCAGTAAGGTAGTCAAAGACAATACAATAGAGTACCAGCTTATTTTCCAAACATTACAGGTTAGGATGATGTATGACTATAAGCAGTATCATTTCATAAAACGTAAGAAAAAATTAGTGGAGAAAAAAAAGAGTCCTTCAGAAGCTTGACATACAACTCATCAAATCATGCCTAGCGCATTTATAGAAGAAACCAGAAGTATACAATGTATATATCAACAATGCAAAAGACTTGTCAGTATTTTTAATAAATTCTTGTCAACAATGGCAGTAGAACCACCACATCTAAATTCTAACAATGCAATCATTCCAGAACTCTATGAGAAAACATAAATGATATTTAAGAGAATTAAATTGAGAATAGTTTGACCTGATCAAGTATTCAAAGAAGAAATTTGGGAAGGCAATGCTTTTAAAAGCATTGAGGGATTTGTTTTCAAAATTTTTCAAAGTAATGAGAAGAATAATGGTTGATATTATTACCCCCAAGGAGGTTATTGAGAAGACAGAAGTGACTGCCAGTGCATAAACCTACTTTCTCATTTCCATAGCATTTTTAAAACAAAAATGACTTCTCCATATATGCAGAGAAATCTTGATGGAAATAGGAGAAAAGGAGAGCCAAGATTTCATGGATTATTTTCTTTGGTAGATCATATCTCCATAGAAAAATTAAATTGATTGAAAAAATATAGAGAATGCAAGATCCCTCTGTATTCATTGTTGGTTGACTAACAATAATAGTTCACTTTCATGGTGCTTTAAGGTTTTAAACACACTCACCACACAATTCTATGAGGTAGGAAGCTCAAGAAGCATTAGATACATTTTGCAAATGAAGAAACAATCTCTTGGAAGTTAAATAATTTACTCATTGTTATACAACTAATAAATGGAATTTAAACCCAGCTTGTCTGGCTCAGTTTAGTATTCTTTTCCCATCATAACATCCAGCCCCAATAAAAAAGAATTAGACCCAGTAAAAGCAGAATACATATAAAAGCTCTTCTTTAATATGGAATCTCCCATGCAAATGACAAGAACAAGTGAGATATTTTTTGATAAATGCAACAGATAAAGAAGGTCACATTTTGATAAATGTAACATTGTTCAATGATATTCTAATTATCAATATTAGATGAGGCATAAAACAAGGAGACATCTGCCTGCCAAAGTGTTCACCACTGTCATGGAGGAGGTACACACAGAATTTAAATGGAAGGATTCCTTATAGGTGGTGAGGTCCTCCAGATACTCCAGGTGGCAGACAACATTGTTTTTCACCAAGGCCCTGAATATGGCTGGACACTCTCAATAAGATTTTCAGTAACTCCAAATTGATCAGCCTAGTAATCTACATGAGATAAAAACAACTGAAAGGAATACATATTTTTCTCAGGGGCACATGGTACCGTTACAAAAATTGACCATATATTAGGTCATAAAAATCTTTATACTTTAATGCAGAAAAGCAGAAATATTAGTTGCATCCTTTTCAGATATATAGTCAATAAGAGACCATGGAAACCCAAATTAAAAACTAATTGGAGACTAACCCTAATCTTAAAGAATGAATGGGTTAAAGAACAAATCATAGAAACTAACAATAATTTCATTAAAGAGAATGACAATAAGGAGAAAACATACCAAAACTTATGGGATGAAGCAAAAGCAATAATCAGAGGAAAATTTATATCTCTAAATGATCATATCAATAAAATAGAGAAAGAACAGACCAATCAATTGGGTATGCAACTAAAAAAAACACTAGAAAAAGAAAAAATAAAAATCCCCAATTAAACACCTAATTGGAAATCTTAAAAATTAAAGGTAAGATTAATAAAATTGAGTGTAAAAAAACATTGAATTAATAAATGAAACTAGGAATTGGTTTTATTAATATGATTTTTAAAAAGAGAGAAGAAAACCAAATCACTAGTATTAAAAATGAAAAGGGTAAATAAAGTAATGATGTATGAGTAATGAAGTATTGAAGTAATGAAGATGAGATCAAAACAATTATAAAGTTATTTTGCCTAATTATATGCCAATAAATTTAACAATTTAAATGAAATGGAAGAATATTTACAAAAGTGTAAACTGCCTGGATTAACAAAAGAAGAAATAGAATATCAAAATAAACCTATTTTAGAAAAAATTGCACAGCCCATAAATGAGTTTCCTAAGGGAAAAAAAAAACCATCAAGACCAGATGGATTTACAAGTGAACTCTACCAAACATTTAAAGATCAACTAATTCCAATATTAAATCAATTGTTTGGAACAATAGGCAAAGGAGTCCTACAGAACTCGTTTTATGAAACAAAGATGGTGCTGATACCTAAATCAGGAATAACAAAAACAGAGAATGAAATATATAGACCAATTTTATTAATAAATATGGATACAAAAATCTTAAATAAAATACTAGCTAGGGAACTATAACACTTTACTACAAAGATGATATATTGTGTCCAAGTGGAATTTTACCAGGAATGCAGGGAATAAATATGGCTTAACATAAGGAAAATTATTAACATAATTGATTATGTTAGTAACAAAAGTAACAAAAACATATGATTATATCAATAGATGCAGCAAAAGCTTTAGATAAAATATAACACTCATTCCTATTAAAAACACTCAAAAGCATAGGTATAAATGGATATTTTCTTAAAATGATAAGAAGTATCTACCTAAAACCATCAGGAAGCATGATTTGTAATGGAGATAAGCTAGAAACCTTCTCAATAAGATCAGGAGTGAAACAAGGATGCCCATTATCACCAACATTATTCAATATTTCATTAGCAATGTTAGCAATAGCGATAAGAGAACAAAAAAAATTGAAAGAATCAGAATGGGCAATGATGTAATAAAACTATCTCTTTTTTACAGACAATAGGATATATACTTGGAAATGCTAAAGATTCAACTGAAAAGTTAGCGGAAAAACAATTAATAATTTTAGTAAAGTAGCAAGATATGAAATAAACCCACATAAATCACCAGCATTTCCATATATCACCAACAAAACCCTGTAAGAAGAGATAGTAAGAGATACCCTATTTGAAATAACTGTAAACAGTATAAAATACCTGGGAGTATACTTATCAAAACAACCCAGGAATTAAATACATGAACATAACTATAAAACACTTTTTATACAAATAAAGTCAGATTTAAATAATTGGAGAAATCTTAATTGTTCATGGGTAGGCAGAGCCAATATAATAAAAATAACCATTTTACCTAAACTTATCTATTTGTTCAATGTCACCCCGATTAAATTACCAAAAAAAAAATTTGCTGAGCTAGAAAAAATAATAACAAAATGCATAAATTCAGATTTATGCATACATACACATATTCATGTAATGGTAGCCTTCTCCAGGGCATGGTGGGGAGAGAGAGAGGAAAAAAAAATAAAATGCATAGCAGAGAACAAAAGAAAACTTAGAAGGAAGCACAGAAGAGCAGGATAGCTTTTAAAATGCTGTGTAGTATTTATTACATGTTTTTTTTTAAGTAAACAGTATAAAGTGGAAATTCATGGTTTTATATTGAATCCTCTTTATGTTGTGCTATGTACATGGAAATGTTCTTTTCTTCATTTTTTTGTATTTAAATTCAAATTTAAAAAAATTAAAGAGGAAGAAATATCTTCCTTGCAGGAGATATATAGACTTAGAAAACCACATGTTAATATTATCCAAGTTATTTATTCATTTTGTTAAACATTTCCCAATCACATTTTAATCTGGCCTCACTCAGGGGTTTGGCTGGCCACCAGTTTGACACCTCTGATCTTTGCTTTCCACTCTTAGATAGCAACTATTATCTCCCTCTTTTGAAACTCAACTAGAGTCCCATATGTAGGAGAAAGAAAAAGAACTTTGAATTCTTAGAAAAGTCAACACACCCTTTCAGACTCCCTTTTTGTCAGAATGTTCAAAAGAATGCTTCTATTTTCTAAATTGAGTTTTCTTATCCTATCATCATGTATCTCTACTAGTAAGAGAACAATGCTTCAAAATAATTCTCTTCAGTATCTTCTAGAAATAGCATCTGATATGAGAACGAGATCAGAGCACCAGAAACCAGTCAGTAACTTTCTCTTTCAGCATTCCTTCTTCTCTGGTCCACTAGGATTTGAAAATTAATTAAGGCAATTTGGGAGAAGATGGCTTATCAATGGCAGAATCACAGTAAGAAATGTTCAGAGTGTCCTGACTTCTGAAAAGTTGTCAAATAAAATATTTCTGCCTCAAAACTCAGCATGGTTCAATAGGCCCTTGGCTAACCTTTCAGAAAGCATGCATCAGCAGCCTGAGCTGTCTTAGCATTTGACTTCACATCCCATTTCACCTTAACCCACATTGCAAAGAGTCAATTGTTTTCTTCCTTTTCTTTCTCTTCCTTTTTTTTTAATAAGGAGGGCATCCTGGAGAGACGAACAAAAATATAAGAATGGGAAACTTACTTTCTGCAAGTGAGGCGATCTTTAGGTTTTTAGGGCATCCCTCCTCTGGCTTTTCCCTGAAGTATTTCTCTGGGTTGACAAGGAAATCAGGTTTGTTCACCTCTGCCACCTCCTCCAGGGTTCCAATATTCAATGACCTAAATACACCTTCAGAACAACAGGATTTTTAAAAATCATTAAGTCCCCAGAATCAAGTGATTTTTCCAGCCAAGTGAACTTTTCCAATCTAGCCTTCCTCAGCTCTAGCAGCTGCAGTGCTCGACAAACTCTGTAAACACAGCTGGGCCAATTGAATCAGTGGTCCTTTTTTTATTCAAAGGGACCGCAAGGCACCTAACATTCTCCATTCGTTTTTATTTTTATTTTTTATTCCTTAGTCATTTTTGCATAGAAACAAGGATTCTGCCACATTGGAAAATCTCCAACTTCTTTTCTATTATTAAAAAATAGAGTTCTTTGTGTAGTCCCCTTAAAAGCTAGAGAAATAAGCCTTCTTCAAAATAGAAAGCGGAAAGGTCTGAGCTCGGAAGAGCTCTTTAGTTTGGCTGAAATGTTCACCAAGGCAGTTCTATTGTATTGAATATGTGCACAAAGAGATGAAAATCCATTTTAATTATGCCCATAAAAATGACTTGGACAAAAAAAGAGAGAAATTGAGCCTTCTACTTCATATGATAGAGCATGGAGGAAAGGAAATAAACAAAGGCTTAATTCAAGATGTCATTCTATACAAATCTCTATTGAATGTTATCGAATCATGGTGGATCTTTTTATAGCTCAGGCTGAATTCTTCACACAACAACTGATTTCTCTGGGAGTGAAATTTCCCTCAGTCATCAGCAGAGAGAAGATTGACAGTGGGAGAAATCACATTATTATAGACTGTGATGTGAACCATAAACCAGTTCCCATCTCAGTCCCTAGAGAAAATAACTCAGTACGGGAAGATGACCTTTGTTTTGACTTACTTTTTTGCAGTTCTTTTCTAATCATCAGTAAATCCACTGGCACTTCATAACATGATCAATCTCTAGCATTGCCCAGTACCTGGTACATAATAGCACTTAATAAAGGCTTGTTACCTGATTGATGGGTTTCTAATGATGAGAAGGATATGCTAATGATAAGTACTCACTTGATGACTTCGGTATCAGTCCACCGTGGCAGAATTTGTATGTCTTTTTCTTTAATGTTATGCTTTCCTTAGAGCTCGTACCAAAATTATTATTTTCCTCTGGGTTGAGCCTGGACAAAACAATCCATTATGGGATAAAATATTAACTACAAATGAAGGGTAATAACACATTCTCAGCTTATAAGAATGTTTGCTGTTTCGGGAATCAATATTTTTATTTTCTTGTTAACCCTGTTTGGGCACTTACCAAGTCATACCTTACAATAAAATGTTTCAAGATAATGTGGACATAGAGAAGGGTAAGACACAATTATATACCACAACTAAGGAAAAGGTATACTTAGATGATCCAGTGAAACTGCCATGTTGCTGCTCCCATGATGCTAATCATAACCCATCCATGCTTGCCATCACACGCCTGTCTGTGCATGTCCCTCACATATGGACTGGGAGTCCACCCAACCTGCTGGAAAACTTTCTCATTTTTTATTCACAACAAAAAGTACCAGTGGAGCACATGAAGTTCCCAGAGGTTTTTCTTCAACCTTACTACATGACTCAGCCACCTTGATTTTACTTTGTATATTACTTGGGTAATGAAATAAAAAAGTCAAAATCTGTAGAGTAAAAGTCTTTGCTTCTTTTAAAAAATCCCTTCTTTGTAATATACTATACCCTATTCATAGTCATGAAGGGTGAGAGGTAGAGGGAGAAAAATATGAGAAAAAAAAATCAGCCCAAATTATTGAATATTGGCAGTAGACTCATCAGTGTAATATATTTGAACTGACTTATTTGATGATTCATAATTGTCTCCAAAGGTTCTAATCTCATCTTCCATTCCCCATGATGTGGCTTGAGTCCTTCAGCTGCAGGGGCCATATGGGCAGTCCTTATCTTTCCACAAGACTATGTGTCTTTCAAGAACCATGTGGGTGATCCTCTTCTTCTTCTAGAAGGTCCAGTACCTAAACTCTCTAACTTGGGGAATCTCAAACTTGAGGCCATTCCCTAGTCAATGTGCAAGGCTAGAACTGCCCAAGAAATTTCCTCTTCTCACTGGTAGGCCAGATTCTGTGATTATACTAAATAAATTAAAGATCTCTACCCTTCCCTTCCACCCACACAGTACAACATTAGTGCTCAAGAACATCAGCTGATTGCCTATGAACTACCATCTCAGCCTGTATAGTTGAATATGTATCTTATCCCATTACATATTTCTTCAAGAACTATATTGATGTTCCAGCTGCTACCATCTTTGGGGCTTGGAGAGTCCACATGAGGCTGTATGCAAGCTCATGCTTTTACATGCCATAAGCTTCAGTATCAAGTTGTCCTTAACTACTCCTAGACAATAAAAGGGAGAAGTGTCCATTCCTCCCACACCTGCTATATCCCCATGGCACTGTACAAAGTGTCAGTAAGTGTGACCATACTCTCCATGGAAGATGAGGAGGGGAAGGTTCCTCTCAGATGACTCCAAATGCTCATACTCCTGTTAGCTCTTTAAATGGATTTTCTCATTGATTGATTATTCACCCTACCCCAGGACAACATACTCCACCTTTCCTTTCTATTTTCTTAGTTGTTTCATTCTTTCTTGAACTAGATCTTTGACTTCATCAGTATAGAGGATTCTTGATGAGGAATTTCTTCTCCTTCAGGCCTGCATATGTTCCGCAACTTAAAGTCTCAGACAGTTGCCTATGGACATTAAAGTTCAATGATTTACCCAGGGTCACAAGACTAATATACATCAGAGGCAGGCCTTGAACTCAGATCTTCCTGTCCCTAAGGCCAGCTCTTTATCCACTGAGCTGTGCTGCCTGTTTATAAATATGGCCTGGTTCCACTCGGTAGACATAAACTGTATCAATAATCTCAGTTGGTCATGTTACATTTATTTCTTGGGAGAACTGAATGAGAGTTAACTCTCATCTTCGGTAAAACTACAAAGTAGTTTACCTACTTTACCTTTTTTTGCCTCCTCTCCCAGCCTTGCCTAGACCCTCTTTTCTTTTCTTTTTTTTTAGGAGGCATAAGGAGTTAAGTGACTGCCCAGAGTCACACAGCTAGTAAGTGTCTGAGTCCAGGTTTGAATTCAGGTCCTCCTGACTCCAGGGCTGCTCTAAGCACTGCACCATCTTGCTACCCCTATGACCCTCTTTTCTATATCCTTTTTTCCCCTTACCCTACTTGAGTTATTTGTCTTCTCTCTCTTATCCCTACCTATACTGTGCTCAGGAAGGGATCTATCAGTCCTTATATATTACTATGAATTCCAGTCAATGTATTTCCTCTCCCAGGGGTATTTGCATCATATAATCAATCTCTAATTGTATTACAAAATGCTCTGCCCCTAATTAAGTAATTCAGGTATCAGCAAGAAGGTAAAAGAAATCTCTTCTTGATGGTAGGGTGCTTCCTTGAACCACTAGAAATGTACCAGATGGCTCTTGACTATTTTTCATGGTATAATGAAAAGATTCTAGATTGGGATTTGGAGACAAGGGATTCGAGTTGAGTTCCTAGTATTTCTACTAATTGTGTGCCATTAGTAAAGCTACTTAACCCCACTTACAATTTTCTCATCTTTAAAATGAGATGATTAGAAGAGATTAGATGATCTCTGAGATCCCTTCCCTATCTGAGATATCATCATCTCCTTCATACATATCACCAGCCCAATGCCAAGGCATGAATTGATACAAATTCCACCCAAATCCATGACTGAAAAAGCAACTAAAAGAGCATACCCACAACCTAATTACTTGATAGCATCACTGTTGGACACAAAGAATGAGACATTCTTTTATTTCCATGGAAACCAGTTATTTGGAGGAACAGGAAGTACAGGGCAGGCAGAGTTTTATAGAGTAGTAATGGTAATAATAATAATAACTATAATAATAACACATTTATATCATACTTTACATTTGGTAAAGTGTTTCAAATGTTGAGGGAGATTTACATCTGTTGCTGTGCTAATGACAAATTGAAATACCAGGTACAATAATGGATGCCATCCTTCGTGTCTGTGTGTGTGTGTGTGTGTGTGTATGTGTGTGTTCCATTTGATTCTCACAACTCTATTGTATTTGATTCTTATAATGCCATTGTATTGTGGTGGGTAATAAAGGCATTATAACTGTTATCATTATTATCCCCCATCCACACTGGCTCAGAGAGCTAAAGTGACTTACCAATAGTCACAGAGTTAATAAAGGTCAGTAGTCATGACTATAAAGCCATCCCACCATACACTAGACCACAGTGCCTTTCATTAGCAATTATTATTATTCATATGTCTTTCAATACTGGAAGGATTCTTAATTTTGTAAATGCAGATACTCCTCCACAAAATAGCTCCACCCTTTAGATGGTTTTCATAAATTGATAGGGAGCGGGAGGAATCTTTGCCCTTGCTTTGTGCCCAAGCCTCTGCTGAGAATGGGATTCTCCAAAGTCACTAGGTTGGTTTTCCAACATTGGGGGAGGGGCTCAGGCTGGCCAAATTTGATATCCCTCCCAGCTGTGTGTCTAGCTTTTTGGACTTCAATGCCATGCCAGGTACCTTCAATCTTCTCCATAGCCCCACTTTCCAGATCCTTTTTGTCTGTTGTCTTCCCCCATCAGATTGTAAGTTCCTCGAGGGAAGGAAGTATGTTTCTTTTTGCTTGTACTTGTACCTCCCCTCCTTAACAGAGTGCCTAGCATGTAATCAATGTTTACTAAATCCTTGCTATCTTCCTTTGTTTCATCCAACAGTAGACACATGGTATATTACCAATCAGTCAAGAAGGTTTTATCTTGCATGCTTATGTGCCAGGCATTAGAGATACAAAACTAAAAATGAAATTGTCTCTGCCTTCAAGAATTTTATATTCTAACATAAGCCAATAGGCATCTACTGTATACAAGTGTGAACAAAACACATATGGAACAGATGCAAGGTTTTCTTGTGGGTGGCAGGGTGGAACACTAGCAGCTTAGGGGAAATTCAAAGTTTCCAAGGTGAGAAGGGAATACATTCCAGGCATGAGACACAGCTAATGTTACCCATTGGGATGTGGAGCATCAGGGGTAATTAATAGTGAGTTTGGAGAGTCTGAGGAAGGTGTGGAGAATAATGGGTGGTGAGCCTAGAATGATGAGATAATGTAAGGTTGTGAAGGGCTTTAAATACCAACTGAGGAGTTTCAATTTGATCCAAAGGTAATAGGGAGCCCCTACAGTCTACTGAGTAGAGGAGTGTCTTGGTCAGAGGAATATCATGTTGGCAGCTGCATGGAGGGTGGATTGTAATGGGAAAAAAAACTTGAGGCAGGGAGACTGTTAATGGTAGTCCAGGTGAGAGGTGAAAAGGGTAAGAGCTACCAGAGATGCAGCTTGACTAGGAGAGGCTTTGGCTCCATACCATAGTGAGGCCTCAGCACAAAATATTTACAGAGATGTCTCATCAAATAGAGAGCACTAAAGGAAATGTGTTTTAAAGAAATAAATTTGGAAGGGGCAGCTAGGTGGCGCAGTGGATAGAGCATCGGCCCTGGATTCAGGAGGAACTGAGTTCAAATTCGACCTCAGACACACAACACTTATTAGCTGTGTGATCCTGGGCAAGTCACTTAACCCCAATTGTCTCAACAAAAACCAAAAAAAAAATTTGGAAGAGGCCTTCGAGCCCTCCTAAATGATAAACAACCTCCTCTACTTTCTATTCAACAAATGGACACCTAGTCCATCCTATGTTGGGAAAGCTCCAATTGTCAGAAAGCTTTTCCTTAACATCCTTTAAATCTGCCTTTCTGCAATTCTACCAATGCTCCCAGTTCTGCCCCCAGGATCAACCATACCAGTTGGGTCACTGCAGGCAAGCCACTTCAACACTATTAGCCATAGTTTCTTCACCTGTAAATGCTAATGATATTATTTGTACGATAACAACCATAACAAGAATGGTGGGTAGAAAGTACTTTGCAAAACCTACAAAGTATTATAGAGATGTTTGGAAATTATGTTTGGAAAGCATTTGTAACATTGGTCTAATCAGTGTAAACCTGTCCATGAACCCCAAAAGCCCATATGTCAGGATATTACCAGTCATGCA